TCCCGATAAATGTCTTCATCACCAGGCGAAGCTGCACAACGCACGCCTGCAGAGGAACAGGATTTGCAAACAATTAACTGAAGCAGTGCTGTTTAGAGGACATTAGGTCAGTTGCAGGCGCCGATATTCTGTCCTCATTTGCTCGGTGGCGTGACCCGCAGGTACCCTTTCGTAGAGCTCTCACACATCTCCGACTGTCGGGTTCGTCCAGCCTTCTCCCTGCTCTTCTTAGAGTTCTGTTGTAAGTAGCCTGGGATTTTGTGAGAAGAAATTACTGTTTTGATGTGCGATGTTAAAGTAACTAAACTTTTTGCGATGCTTAATCGGTGACATGTACCTGTTACCGTTATGGCTACTATTAATTCAGTAATTTTTTTCTGTCGGTTCGCAAAAAGTACCCGCGACTTAAATACGCTTAATCGGAGAACGTTCGTGTTGCCTCGCGATGGATCCGGTCGGCGGCTTGCGCGTACCTGGGAGCTAGTCAGTCGTCATGAAGGGCTCATGAAGGCTACCTCTTAAATGACAGCTACAGCTACATTATCCGCTGCAGCTACATTATCAGACGATTGATGAATATCTTGAATCAGGGAGTGCTACGGCATGATCAATAATAGCAGATTTCAAGTCATTGTCAGGTGATTGATATGTGCGTTAGACTGCAAAAAATCCTGGCATTGTCAGATAGTTTAAATATGGCCTTGTGTTATCGGATGTGTTGTTCCTGCTAATACTGTGTGAATTATTGCTGTGTAAGTAACTATCTGGTCTCGAGCACTCCTGAGCATTCATTCCATTTGTTAGAAACTGGATAACCGGTCTCGGCAAGTACTCGTGCTTTTCATCTCTATGTGAAAGCCGTGGAACTGGCGAAGGCAGCGGAAGGCGATATCACGCCCCGCACGAAGCAGATTTGGCAGCGACTCGTACGTCGGCGCCACATTCGCGGGCTGCCGACCCGTGGGCACGGGCAGCATCACCGCGGCACCAGGTGTGCCAACGTCCACCCCACGGTACCATCAGATATCGCGCCCCCGGACGCCCACCACGCAACCCGACACAACAACGGATGAACCCTGCGGCAGCTGTCCCGCAAACGCGAAGTAGAACGGCGGTCTTGCCGATGCTTGGCGCGAGGGCGGCGGGACCATCCGGCCAGCGGCGGCGCCACTGCGGTCGAGAGCGGCGGAGCCATCCGGCCAGCGGCGGCGCCACTGCGGTCGAGAGCGGCGGGACCATCCGGCCAGCGGCGGCGCCGCTGCGGTCATCATCGGCAGTGGGCACGTGCTCCACAGGCTTTCCGAACGGATGTCGCCCGCAGACATCGGATACGACTGCAGCCGACCACCGCGGAGTTCTGGAGCGCCAGGTAGACAGGAAGATAGCGGCCCCACCACCGCGGAGTTCTGGAGCGCCAGGTAGACAGGGAGATAGCGGCCCCACCACCGCGAAGTTCTGGAGCACCAGGTAGACAGGGAGATAGCGGCCCCACCACCGCGGAGTTCTGGAGCGCCAGGTAGACAGGAAGATAGCGGCCCCACCACCGCGGAGTTCTGGAGCGCCAGGTAGACAGGGAGATAGCGGCCCCACCACCGCAAAGTTCTGGAGCACCAGGTAGACAGGGAGATAGCGGCCCCACCACCGCGGAGTTCTGGAGCGCCAGGTAGACAGGGAGATAGCGGCCCCACCACCGCGGAGTTCTGGAGCGCCAGGTAGACAGGGAGATAGCGGCCCCACCACCGCGGAGTTCTGGAGCGCCAGGTATGCAGGGAGATAGCGGCCCCACCACCGTGGAGTTCTAGAGCGCCAGGTAGACAGGAAGATAGAGGCCCCACCACCGCGAAGTTCTGGAGCGCCAGGTAGACAGGAAGACAGCGGCCCCACGACCGCGGAATTCTAGAGCGCCAGGTAGACAGGAAGATAGCGGCCCCACGACCGCGGAATTCTAGAGCGCCAGGTAGACAGGAAGATAGCGACCCCACCACCGTGGAGTTCTAGAACGCCAGGTATGCAGGGAGATAGCGGCCCCACCACCGTGGAGTTCTGGAGCGCCGAGCAGACAGGAAGATTGCGGCCCCACCACCGCGGAGTTCTAGAGCGACAGGTAGACAGGAAGACAGCGGCCCCACCACCAGCGGAGTTCTAGAGCGACAGGTAGACATGGAGATAGCGGCCCCACCACCGTGGAGTTCTGGAGCGCCAGGTATGCAGGGAGATAGCGGCCCCACCATCGCTCGGTGTGAGCACGGTGGACCGTCCGCGCAGGCAACGGCCGTGGAGGTCGGCGGCTGGGATTCCGCCACGCGAGTAACTCATTGAGCAGTAAAATACAAAAAAGAGTGTTCAGGAACGTTGACCTTATCTTGCAAAACCCTTTGAAATCGGATCTAGCTTTAATTATTGCCTCCACGATTTTACACAGACACCTCGTCCCAAACTTTCCGATGGCTCTGTAACAGCGGCCGGCGTATATGTACTAGCACCCGGACCACTCTATGGAGATTGTCTGGTTGCTACACTGACCATCTAGACCTATATATATATATATATATATATATATATATATATATATATATATATATATATATTCAACTAATTTGATGACAGTTTAGAGGACAGTGGTTTACTAGTGCGGCGTTTGCACAAATACGAGGCCTATATATATATATATATATATATATATATATATATATATATATATATATTCAACTAATTCGATGACAGTTTAGAGGACAGTGGTTTACTAGTGCGGCGTTTGCACAAATACGAGGCCTATATATATATATATATATATATATATATATATATATATATATATATATATATATATATATATGTATATTGCGAACGTTGCATCAGTAAACTACTGCCCGCAAAAGTCTCACAGAGTTAGTTGGAAATTTCAACGCATTGTCACCGATTAACTTTATTCGTATATGTTTTAAACGGCCAGTGACAACATTACCTCAGGTTTCGTATCATTTCCATGCGGACATTGATCACTCTTATCACTTCGTCCCACGGCGCACAAGCACGTCGCTGGCTGACCGTATGCTACCTATCAAAATATGTAAACAACAAAGCACATTACATATTAGCTTGATTAGGCGTTTCTTTCACTAGTTTTTCCTGTCATCGAGTTGACTAAATGCGAAAAAGTCATTAGCGCTGTTTCACCCAATATCAAGGGCAATTCAACTTAGGATAATCTGTGCAGTAAGGCCATGCCGGAACAAAGCCTATTACTTTGCTGGCTCGAAAAGGAAGCGACAGAATCCTTGCATACCTTAACAAAAACGAGCGGAAATAGTTGAAGTCGGGACTCATTTCCATATTGCTCCAGACAACAAACGTTTCGCCCAGCTAAGTCACAGACATGTGACTTCGTTTTCGAATGAGTGCTCTGCAAAAATATAAATGTCTGAACTCCCATATGAACAAGAAGGCGTTGAGCGTAACGCACGTCTATCGTGCTACATGCCATTAAAGCCAGGCAGATTTCAGGCCATTCCAGGCCATAACTGTATCATGCTAAGCCAACCGTTTCTTAAAGTTGACGCCATTCAGCTCCAGGTGCGCTTCTATCATGTACATTTACCATTGGTTGGTGTGCCAATGCTCATCTTTTGGCGATGGAGTTAAAAGGTCAACATTGGCTTAAAGATCTCCGCATGTTAGATGTAGTTCTGAAAACAGCGCATACAAATGATCTCACACTTCTCAATCACAAATACCACTACTGCATGTGTTTTTGCACGTACATGGGGTTCAAGCTCCTTGAGGAATGAATGAGGACGTTATGCTTGCTATAATGTTATGCTATAATGAGTGATGGGGCCCGATGCTTCTGGCAGGCTGCATATATCCTCAATCGTCAGGCGGTTAGTTTGAAAGGCATTGGCGCGATAAGGTGGAAAAGGGAATGTTGACTGGAGTATAAAGTCATGTTTTAGAATTTACAATGCGGCGAACTTGTTCACGCATTTTAGGCCCATTTTGGTACGGACGCGGGCCGAGGTCCTCTCCTTCCTCTCATGTGACACACTGCCTGTTCCGGGCCACGCACAGCCGAGCAGCGGTCGGCGAGACAGCGTGGCTCTCTGCCGAACTGCCGCGGCCAGCGAGGATCCCCGACCGTCAGCACGGTTCCCTGGCCGTCAGCACGGCTCCCAGCCGTCAGCAAGGCTCCCCGGCCATCAGCACGGCTCTGCAGCCGTCAGCACGGCTCCCCGACCGTCAGCACGGCTCCCGACCGTCAGCACGGCTCCCGACCGTCAGCACGGCTCCCCGACCGTCAGCACGGCTCCCAGCCGTCAGCAAGGCTCCCCGGCCGTCAGCACGGCTCCCCGGCCGTCAGCACGGCTCCCCGACTGTCAGCACGGCTCCCCGGCCGTCGGCACGGCTCCCCGACCGTCAGCACGGCTCCCCGGCCGTCGGCACGGCTCCCCGGCCGTCAGCACGGCTCCCCGACCGTCAGCAAGGCTACCCGGCCGTCAGCACGGCTCCCCGGCCGTCAGCACGGCTCCCCGACTGTCAGCACGGCTCCCCGGCCGTCGGCACGGCTCCCCGACTGTCAGCACGGCTCCCGACCGTCAGCACGTCTCCCGGCCGTCAGCACGGCTCCTCGACCGTCAGCACGTCTCCCGGCCGTCAGCACGGCTCAGCGGCCGTCAGCACGTCTCCCGGCCGTCAGCACGGCTCCTCGACCGTCAGCACGTCTCCCGGCCGTCAGCACGTCTCCCGGCCGTCAGCACGGCTCCTCGACCGTCAGCACGTCTCCCGACCGTCAGCACGTCTCCCGGCCGTCAGCACGGCTCCTCGACCGTCAGCACGTCTCCCGGCCGTCAGCGCGGTTCAGCGGCCGTCAGCGCGAGCCGCGCCACGCGGGGGCCGCTCCGGCCGCCGGCCGGTCACCTCTTGCATAACGGTCCGTGCACCCGCGAAGGACGAGTGACGGCGCTGGCCGGCTCGGCGCCAGCCCGCGAGCGGCAGATGAGGGCCGAGGGTATATAAGCATCTGGCAGCGGCCGGCCGCGACTCTGGCCACCATGAAGCAGCCGGTGGTGTGGGCGGCGCTGCTGGGCGGTGAGTGACCAAGTGGCGGCCGACGGCCGCGGCAAGCGGGCCTCGGCCAGGCGCCGGCCAGATAGGCGGTAATCGGCGCTGCCAATGGCGGCGGAACTGTATGACACTGCTTTTGGGATCACTGACAGTGTTTCTGCATCATGAGAAGACTGGGCTGTACATGTGAGGGGATGCGCCTTTCCCTGAGACGCCTCGCCATCAGTTCCAACCGGCATATTTCGCGCCGTCCATTTTAATCACGGAAAATGATTCGTAATCAACATTTTAGGGAATGAGAATATTAAAACCAAAAGACTTGCTCGAAAATCATATACTTGATATGCATAATAAGTACACGTACTATAAATGGTTAGAATTGGCCGGCATGTTTCAGCCCGAATTCATACAGGTAGCACATTCATTGTTTTCTGAGCTTCGTTATATATATATATATATATATATATATATATATATAATATATATATATATATATATATATATAATAATATATATATATACAATATATATATATATATATATAATATATATATATATATATATATATATATTTCTCTCTAAGTATTATATTTCGGGACACAGCCATCACCTAGAGGCTCGCTTTGCACACACCGCTCCGGACAACCGGCGTTTAACGGACACCCGATCCTCGCAAAGCCTGTCGATTGGCCTACTGTCACTACCATTGGATCTCTAGACCATTTATATCTCTACACTCCCAATATTCTCGAGGTATACGGACTCAGAGCCGAACAGCTGTTTATTCGGATGGTGTCTGAGGCTACTTGACCGCTATACCCCTCACCCCTTGACCTCTTGACGCCTGACCCGCTGGTCATCTGAGGCCTTTGATTCCTCTGCCCCGTGCCACTATCTCGCTACTTTGGCTGTCGGTTTCCTTTGCACATTTGTGGACTCCGCACGGCTTCGCAGTGCGATGGATCAGTCGCGTGGTTGCATTCGTAGTTCACAGTTACATTGCTTTGAACACACGATGTCCATATCGTGTGAGACATGACTTACTTGCGGCCCCTTCCACGTGTAAAAGTTGTTTCGCCCCTTCGAGTCGTCAAAGGACTCGAGGCTGTGTTTTGTTTCTGGCATAAAGGGCTCATGGGGCCCTGGTGTCTTCTGACTATAATTCTCCTGCATGGCTTCGTCCATCCCCAGGGGCCTTTGAGGTCCTATGGCCTTCATGCGGCCCAAATGGTCAAGGGCTCCAAGACGGGAAACGACCAGGGCTGCTCTCTTCGCCCACCGTTTCGTCCTAAGCCATGGCGGGTACCGCCTCATACCGGGAACATGCTGCGGCTGTCCGGTGCGAGTGGATCTCACGGCTAACCCAGCGCGAGCTCTGGCGCAGTGAATGCAAATGCCGAGGACAGACTCGCGCGCCGGGGAAGATTTGGTGGCGTTGACAACCCATCTCCAAACGCACCCGTGCTAACATCCCCATAGCTACGAAGTGCGTAATCATGGCCGGTAGACGTGTAATCTAACGAAACCCAACCATACCACCATGTGCGTATAAGGGCTCCAATAAGTTCGGTGGATTCCGAGATGGGCAGGGACTCGGAGAGCGAGCCAATGAGACTCGTTATATTCAACGTTCGGGGAGGATCAAAATAGGGGGAAACCTCTCTGAAGTGCAGCAGAGCGCTCTTAAAATATATTTTGATGGTAATGGCAACGCCGTGATACGAATGATAGGCCTTTGAGGACCTGCGTAAGACAAGACCATTGGTTTCTGGGTCTGTCCAGAAAACCGCTTACCGAAATGGACCAAAAAATTGCATGACAACATAAGTCCCATTGGCCTAAACAAGTCAATACAAATCCAGTGAGAATGAAAGCTTTCCGAGTAGACGGCCATTTCCACTCACCATGGGTCGAGCCCACCAATCGGCCAAGCCCGGGACGTGATGGCATCTTTATTTCCTGTCACCAACCCTACCCCTGCCGACAACGACCGTATTTTCCACACCAACTTTTAAACCGATTCTCCGCCCTGATTGCGCCCAGTTCCTTATGGCAGAGCGGGAGGTACGGTCGTGTTTATCAACGACTGGGGATGATTACGTCCAACCTACGTCCCAGAGCAGCGCTGGGGCTGCTTTAGAGAGGCCTCGCCTGTAAGCCGCTTTGATTTCTCGGTATAGGAGAAAGGTCTTCAAGGCCACAGAGATACGTGGTCCGGGGCAGGCGTGTCGTCACGGCGCCTGGCAGTGAAGAGAAACATGTTTCCCTGTGTTTTGTAACAGGCAGTTTGGCGGCGCCCGGGGTGCTGCTTTGTCGCCGACCGAATTTCTGCGGACAAAATTGTCGCCAGCAGCGCGACGCGATGCCATACGACATGAAGTGGCAATGACGTTCATGCCCAATAGCGTCATCAGGAATCGGCGCGTCATCGAGGGCCTCTCATCGCCGCTCTTTTCAATATCATGCATTCAACCGAAACGTTCATTTAAATAATGTCACTCAACTAAGGCTAGCAGAACTGCTGCTGCGAAGAATGCAGGCACAACGGTCGAAGACAATGAGATGGCCCAATCACGAAAGCAATCTTCTTTCACCACAGGATTTGTCGGGGTCTCACGTTTAAATTTAGGTCCGAATTTGCTATCTTCGACCGCGGTTTGGTCTTACCTGAACAGGAACGAGGTATAATCTCCGATTTAAAGATCTATTTGACTAGTAGCCATGCTCAGTCAGGGGCCAAGCAACAGTGACGTCACTTGGCACTTAAGAACCATTTTCACCCCCTGTCATTCGCTTCCCTTAGGGGTTCCAACAGCCACCAGCACCGAGCCCACGGTTTTCTTCAAAGGAAGGAAGGCCCGGTGCTTGAAACTGCTGTGGTAAGTCAACAGCCGCTTTTGTAGCTTTCCTGTACGGCGAGCCATTTTTCCGTACGGTCAGTCAACAGCCTTTTCTGCTGCTTTTCTGTACGGTGAGTCAACAGCCTCTTCTGTTGCTTTTCTTCATTTTGAAAAGGCGGTCTGGACCATCACAGGTCAATTTCTACCCTGACTGGATCATCTCATCGACTTTCCTGAACTGTCAAGTGTCGGTCAATGGAGTCAACAAAGCTCAGAAAGTAAGCCCAGACAGATATTCGGAAACTGCTATGCCAATACTGCATGCAGAGCCGAAGTGCACTTGAAAGTCACCGCCAACCCCACATACCTGACTCTCACCGCAACGAGCGAAAAACACCCTTGCGGGCAAATGGATTGCCATAGAGCATTTTAAGCCTTTTTTACTAACTCGCTTGGATCACTGAGAGTTACCAGGTAAAACAGCGAATTGGCCGGCCGACCGGGCCATAGGAAATACACTGATTTGTTGCCGACCATTCACCGAATCAAGCGACCAACTAAAAATTATGGGATATTTTTGTCGCCGGGTTGGGATGAATCCTAAGAAAGATACCATGGTGGCGTAATGCACGGTATAGGGACTTCATGGAAGGGCTTACTGGTGTCGTGAGATGAAAGATTTTACCACGGAAGCCCCATAATGGGTTGCGCACTGCGCGCCATCATACTTTGTTGTCACCGTCACCAAAACTTTCGGTCGAACGGCACCAACGGCATAAAACGTTGCGTGAAAGTAGACATTTTTGTGCCCGACCTTATCCACCAAGTCGGCATGTTTGACCACCCCTCGCAAGGCACTTTCAAACCCAATTAGTGCTGACCCTGACCTTCCATGTAACTGATCCTCGCACCAGGCTTACTGGAAGACGTCACCGTAGAAGCACAGCACTTCGGCATTTGCAAATGGGGAACACATTCTGCACGCGATTGTCGTGAAAGCATGAAGTGAACCGAGGTCCAGCTAAGCTTAGACCAGCTTAGAATGCAGTCTACCACGCGTCTGACCTGACAGACATCCGTGACCCCTAGATGATCTTGACCTGGTTTCAGTGGCGCTGGCCGCCGAGACGTTCATCTGCCCGGAAGATGAAACCACGGGTCTGTTCATGGACGACTTTGACTGCGACGTTTACTGGAGCTGCTTCCGGGGCGAGGCTACCTTCAAGGAGTGCCCCGACGGCTTCGGCTTCGACCCAGCTCGGGTGCGGTTCGACGAGCCCTGCGACTATCTCTTCAAGGTCAACTGCACCGGCCGCGAGGGCCTCGGGGAGCCGCAGGGCACGGGCGTCTGCGAACGGAAGAATGGCATCTTCCCGCACGAGGACGCAGACACGTGCGACCAGTACTACACGTGCGAAAACAACGAGCCGACGAAGAGCACCTGCCCGCCGGGCCTGCACTTCCGGCTGGACGAACTGGTCTGTGACTGGCCGGCGGCGGCGAACCGCGGCGCGTGCGGCGCCAAGAAAAGCATCGGCAACTTCACCTGCGACCCGGAAATTGAGTACTTCACGCCAGCCAAGCAGAAGATCCAGCACCCGACCTTCGCGCATAACGACTGCCGTAAGTTCTACGTGTGCAAGAACGGCATCGATCCGGCCATCTCCAGCTGCGACTACGGCTTGGTGTACAGCATCGACGATGCCACATGCGACATTCCCGCCAACGTGCCGGACTGGTAAGTCAGCCGAGAAATCCCGCCGCTAGCTGGCGTTGGATGAAGCCCCCGATCGTGAAAACATGTTATTCCATTCCGACTATTTTCCCAAAAGTCAGTTTTGCACCAGAGGTTTCAAGTAAAATGTCCATAGTTTATGCCTTTCATAATCGAACATGTTGACGTCCTCGTGCAGCAAGCAAACCACTGCTCTCCACGCCCAGTACCGACGCGAACGCTTCCCGTGGCCACCACGGTGTTGTGGAAGATATCTGTCATTTGAAAACGTTTGCATGCTTTCCAAATCTCATTATCCAAACAAATAGCATGTTAACGACTTGTCTTACTTCAGCGCAACCTATTACGACGAAGAAGAGGCCTAAGAAGTGGTACGGTAAGCAGCCCCGAAGATGGAGCCTGCCTCCCACGAGCCTGCGCACGACACATCATCCAGGACTAGTCAGTTCTGCTGCACGTCTGAAGCTGACAATGAAGGACGGGACTCCACATACCGGTCCGGATGCCATGGCTCCGTACTAAGTCACCTGTGATGCCTCCCTTGCATTTTTATGTTGTTATGACGAATAAAGCGAGAGGTTGTAAACTATTATTACTTTTCAATGATTGCAGACGACGTAGAAGAAGGCTGTGAGTATGTGTGTGTGTTTTTTTATAAAAGATCAGTTTTGGATCAGCATGAGGCTGGGTTATGTGCTAGCATTGCAATTACAGGCTGGTTTGGAAGAATTTTCTTCGGTAAGTGGTTGCCCTGATTGGAAAATAACGTGAACAATCAATTTCCGGCAGCTCGACGAAATACTGCGATAGGCAAACAGTGTTGCTATCAGTGCTTTGGACGTATGGCAGTCCAGGGGCGAACAAGTTCCTGATTTACCAGATATCATCAGTTACAAAAACTGGCACTTTGGAAACCAATTGACGACAAAATTACAAAAATGCAAACAAATGTCAACAGGCAAGACCATAGAACAACTTACTTTCCCAGCTACACGACGTTCAAGACTTTAAGATTGGTCTCTATCGTTAACATTTTAAGCGTAAACATGTGTAGAATACATTGACGTTGACGTTTCGCTGTATGGGCAGGTTGAGCCAAAAGATGCTGCCGAGCATAGTGGCTTGAATCAGGTTATTTTTTGCAGGTACCGGAAATATACCACAAACTGCACTTTCCCAGTGCTGGCGTCACAGATTAGTGGCGAGACAGTGTTTTCCAATGCCGCTCAGATCAGTGCTTTTCACAGATTTTTTCAGCCAAAATTCACTTTACATACATAACAGTGTAAAATATCAAATAGCTATATTACTTATTACTTACTTAAATAGCTTTATTACTAGCCGTAAGGACCGTGGCTGCCCACAGAATATTGCGACGAACGTGATCAGTTTGCTACGCAGCGTTTTAAAGCGTCGTGCCATTTGAGACAGATGGGTTCGGACGCCAGCCACGCGGTGATGCATTGGGTTCAGCGCAAGGCTGTAGGATGCTGTTAGTTGTGTTCATGTCGTGAGAAGCTGGCTATCCAGAAGAACGTAGCTAATCGTGAGCTTTTGAATCTAATAGTGTCGAAAAGCTCTGCCGACATAGGAGGATTGTTGTTTGTGAATACCTGAGCTGTTGCTTCGGAGGAAAACGGAGGACCTTGGAGCCAAGGCTCCTGGAGTAAAAGGCTACGCAGATGTGGCGTTTCCACCGGGCCAAAGTTTGGTAGCCCATAGTATGGTTTTTGGTTGATGCTACAAAAAGGTAGGCAAGCTCTAGAAAAATGAATAGAAGCGGAAATTTTGCCAATAAACTGGGTTGACATCCTGTTTCTTATCTTTATTTCAGTTTCGCGTGAAAATATATTGTAAATTTTGCGTTTCAAGCCCCCTAAAGACAAATCAAAACCAGGATGTGCTTCCAGTAGCGTATCCTTCTAAACCATTTTTTTCTAGCTCCAGCACCCGCGTCATATTCGTCGTAGTCAACGCTTCTGAGTATTGATATGCTACCTGAGTTTTAGCCCTTGCGCATTGCTTATTTATCTTCGTACTACAGTAACTTTGGAGCAAAGTGTGAAAATAAAATAATTTTAACAGGGAAAGTGAGAAGAATTTCGCTGCTGTTGTGCCATAATCTCCTTAGATATAATATAATCTTATAAAATCTTCACGAGCTTTACCACTCACCAATCCCCTCGGGGCAGGCCAGCACTACATCCACCCTGGCAACGCCCATCTTAAGGCTACAGGGTGTACATTCTAAAATTAACTTCTACAACTTCTCAATGCGCATCCAATGTTGTTGCTGGACCGTCTGGCCCGCCTTTTCTCATGCGCAGCCCCTTGTGATCTTGAAAGCTGGAGAAATGTAACATCTGGTTGACAATTGAGAGGCGGTTTTTTAAAGTTAATTCAAAGAGGCCGAAGTGCAGTCTCTTTACTCAGGTGGTGGAAAATTTCCGCCGCCTTTGTCCCCCATCCCTGTCAGGAGAGTCCTTGGTGCATCTCCGCCAACCCCTCACATAAATATAAATTGTGAGGGAACTTCTGTACAGTTGTCTCATGTATGCAGGCACGTGTTGCGTATTGCATCCCATATGCAGATTTTTAGGGCACTTATGTATTTTGCACTCTTTGACATGCATTGTTTCCAAGCTTTCGGCTCGAGTTTCTCGGAACAAATCACTGGCGAGTTGGATACTCCATCTCTCCGTCGCGGGCAGGCTGGGAGCGCATTTCAACAATAATTTTTCAGCTCTGGCGCAAACCAACGCCATTTTCCAGCTAAAAATGCCTGAACGAACGTGCTGGATCAAAAACAAATCTGGTTTATGGAAATATTTGGTTTAACTAGCCCCCAAAGAACAGTGTTTTCATGACGCCGTAGCATCGGTGTGATATGATTTAGTCCTACGATGACGTCACATCATCGGTGTGATATGATTTAGTCCTACGATGACGTCACATCATCGTCCACTCAGAATGCAGTAATGCCGGGTCTGGCTGGAGTGACACGTGTCAAAGATTCATCCGGGGCTTACTGCTGTTGAGAGGAACGGCGGCTTTGAGGCAAGAGGCTGAACACCACTGACGTAAGCCTCTCACATTGCCCGTTGCACCTGACTTAGCGTACTGACCGGCGGACAAGCGTGAGATGGAACGCTTTGTATCGTCGTCATATTGCATATAAAGCTAAATGAAAGCGCTAGAGGTGTTCAAAAATAGTGTTGGCATCTGTTGATACCAACATTGCGTGAGGTTTGCCCTAAATGATTGGGATCATGTTAGCAAGTGCGACTTCTGCGCCGGCAATGCTTACGCGAAGATAGTGAAGGTCTCCTCCGCGTCCAGCCGATTGTATGTTTTACAAAATACGCAGCGTTGAAGGATTGAGGGGAGGCAGGAAAAATGGCTGAGTCTGCCTCTGAAATGACCCAAAACAGTTTTCTCCACAGACTTGACGCACTTTCTTTTCCCAATCGGGAACAGGGATGTAGTTTCTCGAAATAAGTTTGGGCTGAACCCTAGAAATTATCATTAATGAAAAATAATGTCTAAAATAATATCCAAAATTACGAAACTACATCCATGATTAGAAAGCACAACCCCTCCCCCTAAGTGAAGAAGAAACTGCACGCCTCTTGTGTGGTTATGTTAAGCATGCCTTGCTTGTTTTGGAGTTTATTGCTTTATTTTGGAGTTTATTCCACTTGAGTTACTTTGCAGTGGTTTCCGAAATATTTGGCCCCAGGTTACAGTTAAGTCGGTTCCAAATTTCCATGGTGACAGAAAAAGGACTTTTCTCACCCATGTGACAGTCCTTGCAATGCAAATGTACTACCTGGTTGCTCATGACGGACTATCAGCGTAATCCATGAACAGTCAGACTATAACTATGGTACCCAGAGGAACAATACAAAATTGAGATAGCGTATTGCAGCTTAGCACAGCTGAACATACGTCTGTCTCACGTGTCTTCCCAGGCTCAACCTGGGACCAGACCAGGTATTCATTTAAGAGGCCCATAGATACGATAACCCAAAAGTATGTAGGTAAGGATGTCTTCAATTAATTGCACCTGCCGCTAGGCGCCGATGTCCTCCAGGACTGAAACACTTTCATCCTTGGAATCGAAGCAACTGACGAGATTTCAGCCATCGTACGCTTACAGCTGCGATGCTACTCGGCGGGCGATTTATACCTTCGTGCCAACAAGGTCAATGGTCACAGGGAACTGTGAAGTGTTCCAGCTGCCCACTTTCACCGCAAACGCGATCATATTAAATGGCTCGGGCTGTATTAGCCACGAAGTCACGGCCGGCAGAGAGAGCGAAAAAAGCGGCAACACGATCACATGACTAGAACATGAGTCAGCCTGTCAGCATGTCGGCAGCTACCGAGCATGAACAACCAAGACAGTTCGACTCCTTGGGACAGTTATTCCATTGATATTTCCCGCTCAGTAAGAAGAACAGGGGTAAAAAGGTGCCTTTTATGGCACCGACGAAGCCTAGAACTGTCAAAACTGTTACCTGGAGCCAGATCTTTCAGAAACCATTGCAATACAGCTCGTAATGCGATGCACCACAGAACAAAGACAGTTGCAATGCAGTGCGGCACGTCAACCGAATGTTTTCGTTTCGGCAGTTTATTTGCATTAAAGTACCATTTTTTGGCTATTAAACAATGACAATGTTTAAGGCGAAACTAGCAAAATTATCAGATATAGGCATACTGAAAATCGAATGTCCCACTTTTACATAGGGTTTTGAACTGAAATAGCCATCTTGGGACCTTTTGATGCGGTCCATGGCCATGCCCTCTTTAAGACCCAAAACCATGTGGTTCCCGAGTTCTATGTCCGCAAAATTGCGAAAGGGTTTATTGAGAGACTACTTCAAAGACACCTTGGCATTGATGTGGTCATAGAAACGTCATACGATTGCCGTTATATTGCGAGCTGTTTTCCGCTTATGGTCAAAACAGCACGGCAGTTGATACATTCGCAAGAGCGATGATGCGGCACGTATGATACAATCCACGAAAGGTGATTGGCTGTTTGTAAGGTTCGCTGCTAAGTGCGCGTTGCGAACGTAAGCGTGAGCACTTTCGGGTTGTGCGCCACTCGTCGCCAACGAGGCATTTTTCCTGATTTCCATGCCATAAGTCATTGTTGTAAAAAGAGAATGTCACTGTCTGCAAAGAAGGCACAGCACCGAAAAAAGAGCGGCGCTCTCCAGAATGTTATAGAAAAAAGAAGACGCGATGACAAATCCACCTTTTTCTCCTGCTGGTGTTTTTTTCTTCTGGCGTATTCCTTACAGACAGCTCGGTTAGTGCCATGTGTACCAGAGCGAAGAGCCTTGCACGGGTTTATAGGCTAGCAAAGTATTACAAATTAGGGAAATATTACAGTAATTTTAGATATACATTTCACTAAATATTCGTTGCATATTGTACGACAAACTTAAACCTTGAACAAAGGAATTGTGTCCTTCAAGTAGAACATATTGAGTTGTATTATCATGAACCATTGGGACTTTGTTCTGAACGGAGCTCACGGCGAAACGCGGTGTTATAACCAAAAACCTGTGCGGAAGCTGCGAAAAAATCTGCAATTTGATAGTCCTGCGGGTTGTGCAAGTGTGCGATCACATTTCTTTGACATTAGAGTGTGAAGCAGTTGCTTGAAATGGGTGTGATCACTGGTGGTACGTGCCATTGGCATGCATTGATCTTGATGTGATGGGGAGTGTGCGTGCAATGTTTATACTTCTGGGAGAGAACATTGTTTTGTTATGCTTTAAATCTGATGACCCCAATGAAATGTGACACATTGATACCGACTCTATCTTAAGGTTTGTGTTTGAACATGACATGATAGTGATGTCGTCAAACTGAAAAGAAACACTAGTACCCATGCTGCAGGGGTGCTCAAAGGCAATTTGCTCCTTCATTATGATCTTGCCAACATTTTGAACCTACTGAGGTGTCACAGCATGCAATTAATCCATCGCATGCCATTCTATTAGCAATTCATTGAGGCAGTAAGGTCAGGTCAGTATGGCTCACTGATGCACATGCTTGGTATAACCTTGCATGACACATCTTTGAAAATTGTCTTTCCCTCAAGAATGCTGGAAATATTGTGCTGTATTATTAGGGAAGCACATGCAACTGTCTTAACAACTTGTGTATGCAGGCAAGCATTGCTTGTGGGTCACCACTGCAACCTTTGTGAGATGCTGGTTGCTGAGAAAGGTAGAGAAGTATTGCTGTCGGTTTCTTGGATAACACTTAAAAGGAATGTCCCACCTTTACATGGGGTTTTGAACTGAAAGAACCATCTTGAGGACCTTTTGATGCAGTTCACGGCCATGCCCTTTTTAAAATCCAAAGCCCTCCGATTCCTGGGTTACACGCCCGCAAAAGTGCAAAAAGGTTTACTGAGGGACTAATTCAAAGGCCATCTTCGCACTGATGATGTCATAGAAACACTATACGATTGCCTTGATATTACAGGCCGTTTTCTGCTTATGTTCAAAAAGAGCGTGGCCGCTAACACATTCGCAAAAGCGATGATGCGGCACATATGATACAATCGGTGGAAGGTGATTGGCTGTTAGTAAGATTTCGCTCCTGAATGTGTATCGCGGACGTAAGCATGAGCACTTTCTGGTTGTGCGGCACTTCTCGTCAACAGGGCGTTTTTTCTTACATCTACGCCATTAGTCAAAGTTATGAAAAAGAACGCCACTGCAAAAAATATGGCACCGAAAAAAAGAATGGTGCTCTCACGAGCGAGTTTAAAAGAAGACACAACGGCAACTCTGTCTTTTTTCTCCTGCTGACCTTTTTTTCTTCTTCTACTCACGTATTTCATACAGCCAGCCCGGTTGGCGCTGTGTGTACCGGAGCAAAGAATCTTGCACGGGTTTATGAGTTCGCCAGTTATTATGAAATAAGGGAAACATTACAGGAATTTTGTCGATATATTTTGCTAAATATCTAGCACATATTGCACGACGAATTGCAATCTTGAACACAAAAATTGTGTCCTTGAAGTACAACCTCTTGAGGCTCATTACCATGAACCCCTGTTGGGACTTTGTTTGGAAGAGAGCTCACGGTGAAACACGGTGTAATGACGGGAAAATTGTGCGGAAATTGTGAGAAAACCTGCAATGTGATAGTCCCGCGAGCTGTGTAATTGTGGAATCACACTTGTTCTACAAAAGAATATGTACAGTGTACATGTACACAATGTACCACATTGGTTGACTACTTTATGTCAAACCTATGAGATAACATTTTATGATTTATGAATGACCGGCAACAACTTATTTAACGATGCCAACGCACTATCACCAGCGACAATGGTGTCACACTAGAATGGTTATATCAGGGGTAACTAGTAATTGCATAAATAATCCTAACGAGAAAAACATTCTTGGTAGATCAATCCTACCAACTTTACCACAGAAATAACAATGCTTTGGAAATCAACTCGTAACAATCTCACAGATCTATTAATTTTTGCATGCAGAATTGTTTTTGCATTTCAAGTTACAATCAATAAAGAAAGCAACTGCTGTGCACATCACATGATATCAATGTCAGGACTACAGCACTGCAGGCAAGGACAATAGGTCGACAATGCTGTATTGACATTCTCATTAGTCCTTGGCAAGTTTCGGTAAGAGATTCATGACACTATAGAACAGTTTTCACAGCATGTCGTGCTTTGATATTAAGAACCTGCCATAATACCTGGCGATTGCTACGTTACGTATGTGAAACAGTCCACCAAAGCTTTTCTAGCGACCAGTACCAAGACAAAAAATCCACAAACCATCCACTAATCCGCTCCCCGACACAGCGGACGCGACGAGAATAGCCGGTCGGCGTCAGATTTCGCGCGTTTCGAGGTATTCTTTAGGCCTGGCTGCCAGATGCTGCCAGGTATTGCCGTCGTCACAAAGCCATTCCATTGTGCCATCAAACAATGATGTAATGAGGCGCATTTTTCAACTTTTGAACTTTCGCTACCTAGGGTTGTTTTGAACCTTGAAAGCTTACCAATAGTTAGAAGGAAGCTTTTCCCCATCATATCTGGTGCTCATCTCAATATCTTTAAATGTGGAACATTCCCATAGATAAGACAGTAGTATTAGCATCATTCCTTGAAAAAACAAGGAGAATGGAAATATAGCCAGGTCAATACTTTGGGAACATGCCTTTATCGAAACAACAGCACAAGTGAGCAACAGCACTTCTGCTATTGTTTCGATAAATGCATGCCGCCGAAATATCAACCTAGCTAAATCTCCATTCTCTTGGTTCGTCCGAGGAATAAGGCTAATACTGATGTCTTATCTATGTGAATAATGTTCCATGGTAATGCACTAAGCAACTTACGTAATCTGGAACATTCCCTCTAACATAACCTAATCTAAATGCGTGTAGTTTCCTATTTAGTTGGCAGGGGGAGTGTGGTTCCTAACCAGAAGTGCAGTTTCTGTTTTTGATTGATTACTTTTATGAATTTTCCGTCTGTTAATCATAGCTGTTTGAGGTTCAGTCCTCCAAAACTTGTGTTGAGAAACTAAACCGCTGATCCGAACTCTGAAAAGAAGGTGGGTCAAAGCCTGGGAGAAAACTTTTTTAAGGACATTTCGGAGGCAGGCTCAGCCATTTCACCCTCCCCTCCTTGACCTCTGCGTATTTTACAAAACGGCATCCTGTAGTTCTACATGTACCGAAAATATTGCTCTACAATACTATTTTTGGTTTCGTGACGTCATCTTACAATCAGCTGGGCGCGTTGGCGATCTTTGCTAGCTTCGCATTATCATTACCAGCGCAGAACTCGTACTTCCTAACATGATCCCAATTAATTAGTGCGAAGCCCATGCAATATTGGTATCATCAGATGCAAACGACATTTTTAAACACCTCCAGCACCTTCACTTGGCTCCCTATACAATACGATGGCAATCAAAAGCGTTTTACCTCACGCCTCTCCGCCGGTAAGAACGCCAAGTCTGAGGTGCGACGGGCAAGGTGAGAGGCTTACACCAGCGATACTCGGCATCTTACCTCAAAGCTGCTGTTCCTCTCAGCAGCAGAAAGGCTGCGGTTGAATCCTTGACATGTGTTTCCGCAACTTCCTCCGTTGAGCTCTGCAGCTTTAGGTCGGGTATCCACAAACAAGCCTCCTAGATCGGCAGAGCCTTTTGACGCTATTACCAGGGACGCCCTCCGTGGTAGGCCCTGAGGAAGGCCGCACAGCGCCTTAAAAGCTGACGATTGGCTACGTTTCTCAAGCAAGCCAGTTTTTTACGACATGAACACTACCAACAGCAGCCCACAGCCTTGCGCTGAGCCCAAATCATTACCACATGGCGAGCCTTCAGGCCCATCTGTCTCAAATGGCACGACTCTTAATAACGCCGCACATCTAACTGATCACGTTCGTCGCAAGATGCTGTGGCCAGCAATGATTCTCCCGGCAAGTAGTGAGCCCACTTATTGGTATTTTATACGGTTAAATACCTGAAGCGAATCTTGGATGAAACATCTGTGAAAAGCACTGATCTGAGGGGCATTGGAAAAGCACGGTGTCACCACTGATCTGTGACGTCAGCACTGATACAGAATAGCTTACAGTGCATTTCCGTCACCTACCGAGAACTATCCTCATCAAAGCTTCTATGTTTGACGATATATTGTGGGTCAAATTGCTCATACAGCGAAACGTCAACGTTTTGACATGTCTTCTACACATACTCACGCTCCAGGCGTTAGCAACTCCAATATTTATATTTGAGTTTCATTGAGCTGGGATGGTCTGTTGTAATATATTTTGGTATATTACAATTTGTTTCCATTTTAGAACTCTTGTCACCAAATGGCCCGCAAAAGCGTCTGTTTATGCCAGCGTTAGTAACCGGTAAATCAGAATCTCTTTCACTCCTGAAGAGGGGTGTGGCGGGGCGGCACACACCTGCCCCGTGCCATCTGGTATGCCAGAGGAAATACTTCAGCTTTGTCGCCTGAGCTATTATCGTCCGAGATAAGTCCTGTCTCATATCTCGTAACTGGTGGGATTGAAGAGAGAAGTTTTCACAAGAAAATGTTAGGAGTACGCGCCTAAACCCAAAGCGCTAAACCACTGGAAAAACCCACACCAAACACCCTCTCTTTACAAACCTACCCTCTCGTACGGAGCCTGTACTGTCTGCCCCTAAACGCGAAGCGAACCTTCCAGGACAAGTTACGTCGCAGCCTTCAGGGAGTATCTGTGCTGCCGCTGTCTGGCCAGCGGCAGTTCACCGGCCGGCCTGGAGTCCGTGGCCTGCGCCAGTTTGAGGCCGGTGCCCCGAGGCAAGACCGAGTGACTGGAGTGAGGAGAGAGCTGCAGAGCTGGAGAGAGCAGAGAGGAGAGAGAGGGCTGGCCTGCCGGGACAACGAGAGCCTCAATGGAGCGGTGACCCACAGAGGAGTGCGGCGGCCGCCGGCGCCGGAACAGCGCCATCTCCTAGAAAGATATAAAGTCGGCGGCGTTAGTTTGCCGGCGGACTCACTCGCACGCGGTCGAAAATGTGGCGCGCAATAGCAGTCTGGTCACTGGTGGTCGGGGGTAAGTCGAGACACGGTCGAGGCCGCTGACGGGTTGTAGGTTTCCGTCGTTGCATCAAGCAATCTTATCTGCTCCGCAAAGCTGGGTGAAATGCTATCATTTCTTTGAATCTCGATGTTATCTTCCAATCGGAGTGCATGACTTCTACAGCTGAAGACTTAATAATTGCAGTGACCTTTTTGCCCCCTTTGATGTTGCACTTGATGTTGCTGGTGAAGTGGAACGACTTATGCGGAGATAAAATCAATTTACGCATGGTGTTATCGTTACATGCCGACTAAAATTTCCCTCGATTCGGGACGTTGAACCTGCTTTTTTTTAATTATACGGCGGAAGACGACTCCACACCTGGTTTTATACGTAATTGATCCAAAGTGTTTGGAGCATATCATTGAAGTTTCTGGATTTTCATAAACACCCTGTGTGTATATCTTGCCAAAATTACATGCACCTGGCATGCGTAGAGGCAGTTCCAGTTTGAGGTTTCGGGGTGACTGAGTGAAGGTTTGCGATAGTGCTGAGATGGGCTTCACCGCGGGATTAGCGCGGCGTCTGGTGTTTGCAAGAGCCACTGCTGTTTTCGGTGCATGAGGTAGTTGCACCAGATGTTTTATTGTTGCAATTTGCCAAAAACAATTTGGCAGAGGTGGTTCCAGGGCTCGAAATGGGATAGTTGCTTCACAGTGTGAAGATCATTACGGGTTATCAATGTAAGGATATGTGGCGAATAATTCTGGCAACAATATGCACAGGGTTTGTATTTTTGCCTATCATTACACAAAGACCGTTAAGGTCGATGAGAGGCATGCTTAACTGGATCGTGAGGAAATGCAAATGGGCATAACGTGAACCGTATGGCATCCCTAAGGTTCCATGACTGGACAAGCTGGAAACAATATCTGCCCTTATGAGGGAGTAATGCAAATAAAAATTTTGAGCACAGGTGCCCCCTGGGGTGAGAATACCGGTTTCATATCCGTCCGATACCTCATTTGGTTTACGTGCCTCGCTTCCCATTCACCCAGCCGTGGCGGGGTGGGTTCGAGTCGCTTTAGGCGCTCGCTGTTGCCTCTGACTGAGGTGGTCCGCGATCGATGGAAGCTGCCGTGCTCGTAGGCCGAAAAGCCGACCCACACTGGCCTTTTTTCGTTGCTCAAGGACCACGTCTCACGTGAACAAGCCAGCAAATCCTAAAAACTCAAAGCTACCTTCAGACATAAGATGGGGCCCATCAGCGAAGACGATCGTCCGACAGATGGACACCTGCGGTAGGCTCAGTAGCTGCGCACCCGGGGCCGCCAAGGGCCGTTGAGAGCACCTGTTGTCACGATTTGGCGGGTGTGGAATGACTAATGACTACCGCTGTAGTTGATCACGTTTTTTCTTCATGAAATGAGCAGTCGAACATGAGCACAATCATGGCTGTGTGACAAATACACTTGTCATGGTTCAGAAAACATCGGTCAGGTTATCTGGGCCACTCAGTGCTGTTAAAAGCTGCCGCAAATTGCACTGAATTGTTTCGTAACCCAATCCAGGTGTCATCGTGTGAAAAGCTTGCCAGACATTTGTGGACTGGCCTAACATATGAAGGAGTTGGCATGACAAAACATTGGGTACCCAAAAGATGTTAGTTGATTCAAAATGGGCATAATGCTAATAGTGGTGTGTCTAGGTACCTAATGTACCAAAATGTAAGATAATTTGTCTGCATTTATTTGGCCCAGTAGTTTCTTCTTGCTCATATACAATGAGAGGGAGGGGGGGGGGCGTTGTCAGTCAGTGGAGCGTTGGGAGGGGGGGGGGGGGCTCAGGCCCCCGAAAATATTAAAATGACGCCGCCGCTCGCTGAATTAATTTGTGCGCAAGTGAGGGAGCCAAGAAGTTTTGTGTGTATGTGTGTCGTGTGTGGTGCTTAAAAGCCGTATGTGGTACGCATGCGTCGTACGGTATGACATGTGGACATCCCGCACAGCTAAGAGCCTGACAAGAGTTGTGCACTGGTTTCCGCGCTGTCTGACCGCAGCCTCTTCGACCCCTTTTCACCCGGAGAATGGCAGATGTTGACGTCAGTCGTGCAAGACTGCGATTCGAAAATGCCTCACAAGTGGCTTACGCACACGTAGGTCCATCCAACCATAGGATCGAAAGGCAGTAAGGGCTCAGTTTGGGGTTTATCGTAGCAAAGTCGGAAAAAGAATGACGCGTCAAGGAACGGTGATAGCACGCAAGAGCTCAAAAGACATAATTCCCAATATTGTGCACGCAAAAGTTCTCTGGCATGCCAAGCGAATCCATGGGAGCTCGTCAGTTCTTGAAAGTTGCATTAAAATTGGGTAGCTGTCAGCGATTTGTTGTGAAGATCAATAAATTTGCATTTAATTATTTGCATCAGCGGGCTAGACAACCTAGTGCGAGTGGATTATTAGACTGGAGACCGAGAAGTCTGAATTACCGCCGTAGTACACCATCACCAACCTCGGTCGTCATCAGGATGCATGGACACGCTCACAACCTCGGTATTTAAATGAGTCGATAAACACCCCAAAAATATTTGCAAGTATGCGTTAGTGTCGCAGTGGTCGTGTCCGCACGGTGACTTCACCAGGTCGTATGCTTCAGTGACACTCGGCGTCGAGACGTTCACCTGTCCAGAGAACGAAATCACCGGCAAGTTCGCTGATCCGGACGAGTGCGACAAGTACTGGGACTGCTTCAAAGGCACGGCCACGCCCGTCTACTGCCGGGACGGCTGGGCCTTCGACCCGAACCTTGTGGTGAAGGCCAACCCGTGCGACTACATCTTCAAGGTGGATTGCACAGGTCGCGAAATCCTCGGCGAGCCGCAGGGCACTGGCGTCTGCGTGCGGCAGAACGGCGTCTACCCGCACGACGACCCGAATGTCTGCGGCAAGTACTACACGTGCACGGACAACGTGCCGACGTTGCTCTTGTGCTCGCCCGGCCTGCACTTCAACACCAGGACCAACACGTGCGACTGGCCGGCGTCAGCGCGCCGCGGCGCGTGCGACGCACGTCGCACGCTCGATGGCTTCACGTGCGACCCGACCAAGGAGTACTTCACGGCCGACAACCAGAAGATCGTGCACCCTAACTTCGCGCACCCGGAGAACTGCTCCCTTTTCTACGTGTGCAAGAACGGCATCGAGCCCGCCATCTCGGGCTGCGACGAGGGGTTGGTGTTCAGCGAGGCCATCAGCGCCTGCGACGTACCGGAGAACGTGCCAGAATGGTGAGTAACGTTGGTGTTCAGCGAGGCCATCAGCGCCTGCAGTGCACGGGAGAACGTGCCAGAATGGTGGGTGTGCCGTTGGTGTTCAGCGAGACTATCAGCGCCTGCGGCGCACCGGAGAACGTGCCAGAATGGTGAGTGTGACGTTGGTGTTCAGCGAGGCCATCAGCGCCTGTGGCGCACCGAAGAGCGTGCCAGAATGGTGAGTGTGACCTTCCTTCCAACGTGCCGCAATCGCGATGGTGCAAGCTGGGGTAGCGCGCCAAGGTCGTGTATCCTCCCACGAACCGACTATGCCTCACCATACATTCTAAAACGCCGAAATAGCGTTGGTGAAGCTTAAGTGACGCGCCAGGGTGGCGAGTATTGCCGTCCTGATAGCGTTCCGCAATTGCGAGTCTACCTGCTTTCATTTTGCGTTGGAATCATGTAGCACGCCACAGTGGTGCGCAAGAGCTCCCAGGCAGCACGCTTGAAGGGGCAATGTGACAGAGCACGTTCCCGAGTGGTGAGCTAAATGCCTCGTATAAGCGCTAGAAGAGTGAATGTGACTCCCTCCAACGGAGTAGCGCGCCGGCATGGTAAGTTTTACGTGCCAGAAGATGTTTCCGAATGCGTAGTGTATGGTAACGGTATGGTCAGTGGTAATCATGCTACGTCCAAGAGCTTGCTTGAATGTAAAAGACGTATCGCAGCATTGAAAGACACCGTTGATAGTGAGCAAGATGGCGCGTCTTCTGTTACGTCGCCCATCACCTGGTGAAGTGGCCCAGAAGAGTAAAGTTTGAGTGTGTTCACTCGTGTGGATTCGGCAGAGACCGTATGAAAGCTTATGTTGTGTCTTGGCCAATGGCGGAACCAGTGCGGCCTGTGTTAAATGGCCGCCATATGGCTATTATATCCTGCGTAAGTTTGGGAGGGAACAGCCGGTGGACAGCCATGTGAGTTAAACGCCACATCACACTCTATACATGTACATATATATATATATATATATATATATATATATATATATATATATAAGCGGTATGTGATAGCCTGCGCAAGATGCCCTGGATGCCGACGCGTGTCCTTTAACACCGGACCACCACCACACTACCCTTCACATGGTGGCTATATCTCATTCGTGGTCGGATGCTTAGTATCACTTTGAGGCAAACTGTGGTGATAACGACAGGGCACTGTGGTTTCGCCGGACGCCACTGCTTAACCATGCGGTTCTGAAATGAGAACACATTTTGTGAGCGGTAATCGTACTTAATTGCTTACGAATGCTTCGTGTTGACAGTAACCCGGACTACGAGTACTCTGACTACCCGGATTCGGCCGATGCGTTGTCTTCCAACTAGTCCAGGTATGACTGGTGCAATACCTGCGCCGGTAAGCTAAGGTTTGCGTACAGCTCTGGCGTACTGCAATACCAGGTATGACTGGTGCAATACCTGCGCCGGTAAGCTAAGGTTTGCGTACAGCTCTGGCGTACCGTAATACCAGGTATGACTGATGTAATACCGGCGCCGGTAAGCTAAGGCTGCGTACAGCTCTGGCGTACCTTAATACCGTGTAATGTAATGGGCCTATTTAAGTTTTAATATAGCTTTTAACAAGAAATCATCGGGTAGGGACTTGTTTGAAACAAAGCAGCGTGTCGCGCACCTCATATCGTATCTCATATAAACACATATCTGTAATTTCTAAGACGTTGTGCCGAGAAGTAATGTGGGCTGTGTGTGTGATTAATTTTATATATTTCAATTACCAAAATGCTGATTAGTGTCCTTTCAATGGTCAGTCGAACCGACTTTGTGTCTGCCTCGTTTTTCAGAGCCGTTATGCCTCCAACCCCGTTCGTTGAAGTAACTGGAGCAAGAATGGGGAATCCTGAGCAGGTGGATCGTCTTGTGCGCACCACCCACCTAGTTATGTGTCACTCATCGGGCAATGCCATCTTTTCCACAATAAATACTCACTGTTGTTATGTGTCACCGATGGGTGTACCTCGCTTACAGCTAATGTATGCCACTGTTAAATAAATGACCCGGCCCCCGGCAGCCCTCAGGCTTCGCGGGGTTTTGGTTCACTTGGAAAATGAATTTTGTTGAAATCCCATTCGTTGAGCAAAGAAATGATTGCCGTAGTTTTTGTTCGCGCCTCTTTGTTGCGCTCATACTCAAAGGCGTAACATTATATACTGGGGGGGGGGGGGGGGGGGGGGGCGGTTCCAAACCCCTGGATGTGGTTTTGAACCGCCTGATGAATACCGGCAGACTACTGGACCAATGAAATACAGACAATTTCCCTGAAATGCTCGTACACTAGATACATAGAGCCATCACTGCTTTGCCCCGCATAGCATCCCTATACGGCACGTTTTCTTACGTCATTTTAGATCTTTTACGTGGCAAGCCAGCTCGCAACTGGCGGCTGATTTTTGACAAGTGACCTGAAGCGGGGCAAAAAACGAAAATAACAACAAAAAAAACACCGCAAAATACAGTAGCCTTTTAGCATAGCGGTACTGGTTTCAAAATATGAGGGTTCTATAAAGCGCACAATCGCCTGCCAGAAACGTCGCAGTTCGAGAACATTCCAGGGACATAACGAGCATTCCAGTCCTTTCGACTCGCACGTCCCATCACCCTATATACGTGGATGTGCTGTGCTTAGCAAAGCTCTTCCAGCAGGTCTTGCAAGTTCAATTTCGCTTTTAGTGGTAGGTACTTCTTGGCAGTGCGCATAGTGTATTTTCCGCAGCCTCTGCACGGAAAATGCATCATGTAAATACTTTTCTCTCGTCTGCATGTGTCAAGCCATGACATCCTGCATAAAACTGTCTTTTTGTGCCTCAGACAACATTCCATGAGCAACAAAGGAGACCTGTTTCCCGTGATCGTATTGGACCGTGATAAAAAAATTTAGTCTGTGAATTACACTCAGTTCTGTTTGTCTGAGAAAGCTGGAACTTTACATGGGCTTAAAATGAAAGATCATGATTTCGTAAAGATGATATTGGGCAATGAAAATCAAAAGATGTATTGGCAGGGGTAGGTCAGCTGTCTTCCCTTCTTAATTTAAAAAAGCTCATACCTTGCATTCACTGAATTTGCTCAAAAGGGTTTCGTTACAGCAATTTCATACGCGACAAAGGCCACTTACCCCTATCAAAGTTGTACACTAAACAATATGAACGAGTTAAGCACCAGCATACATGCTTGCATGACTTCGCACAGCAAAAGATGCATGATGGTAAAGATGCATGAAGACAACCGTACAGGCAAATAATTTACGTTCGAAATTAGCTGATGTCTCACAAAAATACGTGGGTTCGTCGCGTCATTTGTCAAACAGATAAAACAGTAAGTCAAAACAACGGAAAGTGATAAGACATGAAAACAGACAAAGGAATGCATACACAAACAGTGTAAGATAATCATAATGCACAAATTGCAGTGGCAAGCGCTTAATATTCATCGAATCCAGCCATCTCGCACCCAACGCCAACTCGTTTAAGAGAGAGGCCGTCCGGCGTACGAAAGAGCGCCGCGCTGCTGCCGTGCCCACGCCGGGGCACTGGCTTTGATGCATGAGGATGAAGCGGTCACAGGTCTGTGCGTCGGCGTATGCCCGAAGTAAACAAGCGAGGTCCGCAGGTTCACCTCGTGACAGGCTTCATGCGCGGCGACGACCGTTCGCACATCACACATTTCGCGAGGCCTGGGAAGGTGCAGGCCATCCCGCGCGAGACACATGGTCATACTTTCGGAGGCCAAGAACTACTCTGGTAGCGAAGTCAAGTACTTTCAGCGGTCTAGTGTCGTTAACAGCTGACCTCTAGCTATAAACTAAAATGCAACGTCTTCCTCGCGAGATGACTGCAATGTGGACCGTGTTTTTGATTAATTTAAGACATTTCAATTACCGAAATGCCGATTAGTGTCCCTTCAATGGTCACGCGAACCGACTGCGTTTGCCTTGTTTTTCAGTCAATGGTCAGCAACACTCGTGGGAGGAAACGTCTCAGGTAGCGGAGGCTGATCAGGGGACCGATGTGTTCATGGACATCACTGACACATCCGTCTCGACTCATTCGCACCCAAGTTGTTTACGGCCTGGCTCTCTCGCACTGTCCCCGCTGACCCGTATGCTGGCAGGGGAAGGTCCTCCAGCGTTCGGTCTGGTGCCAAGGAGGAGGATTTCTGTTTGGGTTATGTTGAGCTTGAGGCAGTGGGCATGACACCACGATGCTGTGGAGGACGGGGTGGTTTCCAGGTTTTGGATGGCGGAAGGTTTCGATGAGGAAGGTTTTTTGTTTGAAGGTGATGAGGATTTGGGTTATGTCAGCGTATTGAGTCACATGAGCGTTTGACGCGTTCTGAGGCCGTTGGCGAAGATTGTGAATGCGAGCAGACCGAATACTGACCCTGGAATACTTCAATGGTGTTGGGAAGGGGCATGTAGACCACTCTGCCAGCAGCAGAAGAATAGATGGATGCTGACTGGGAATGACCAAAAAAACATAGGAGGAGAACCAAGGCGGGTCGATGTTATAGAGCTGGAGCTTGGAAAGCAGTTGAGAAGGGGAATGACGTCGAAACATATGCTGAGATCCAAGAGGTATAGAGGTATATGGTCAAGGCCAATATGCACACGATACCTAAAAATGTCATGGAAAAAGCACAACAGGTAAGCAATAATCACGTCAACAAGGTGATTCTATTCATCTTATTCAGATGTCTTGGTACATTTTTGGTTAAAACGTCATTGCTTTTACCAAGCACACTGGAGAAATGGCGTCAACATAAATGTAGCCGGTGTACACTTTGGTTGCATGCAATTTTAAGAGGACACATATCGAGCACACCAGCAACCAACCAAATAAGCTGGTAACCGCTCTGTTGGAACCTGGCAAGACCAGCAACCAACCAAATAAGCTGGTAACCGCTCTGTTGGAACCTGGCAAGACCAGTAACCAACCAAATAAGCTGGTAACCGCTCTGTTGGAACCTGGCAAGACCAGCAACCAACCAAATAAGCTGGTAACCGCTCTGTTAGAACCTGGCAAGACCAGCAACCAACCAAATAAGCTGGTAACCGCTCTGTTGGAACCTGGCAAGACCAGCAACCAACCAAATAAACTGGTAACCGCTCTGTTGGAACCTGGCAAGACCAGCAACCAACCAAATAAGCTGGTAACCGCTTTGTTGGAACCTGGCAAGACCAGGACGCCCGTTCATTGCAATGCTATAACTTTGTTCATAACACTACCTCCTTCCAGGATGTGAAAGTGTGGAAAAACGGATAGGATTGGGGAACGAATCAGGGCGACGGTCAAGTATAAAATGTCCAGGTATTTTCCGAACGGATATGCGCTTCTCACTGCAACCATGCCTTATTGTAACCATTCGGACAAAAAAGCAAGAGCTCATAACGAAATATCCGGTGCATACCTCGCACCCAACGATGATCCACTTGCTCACTATACATGCAGGCGGACTACCATATTTCAGCTTCAGCAAGCTAGTTTGCACATTTTCGCCAACGCAAACAGTTGGATTGCATTGCGCTCATCAGGGCGAACGGGCCGCAGGGGCTTTACGAATCCTACGCAAATGTGACGACCGGAGCAAATTGATCCAAATAATGTGTTGGTCTCTACTCACACAAACATCTGGCGTGTAATATGCAGCACCTGGGACATTGACGTAGCGGTCTTTTGGCCTCTCTTAAGCCAATATTTGCTGCACTGCTCATCGACCAGGTCGACACACGGTCACGCTGTGCTGACCCGTGTCTTCGCAATGGCAAGCGCATCTGGCCATCGGCCACTCGCATCGCGACCAGACGTCAGCACACACACGCCGGCGGCCACTGGTTCAGGTGCAGGGCGCTTCAGAGGCTACTTGACTGACTGCAGGACGTTGCTACGCTCTGAAGACGACGCTGAAGCCGCTGTGGGGTCTGCGCAATCGGAGGTACAGAGAACTATGATACTGTACTTTTAAGTGCAATTTTTTATTATCATAAATAAATATATAGCTCCTTCAGGAAGGAGCTATATGCTGTTGCCATTACACTTACTTTTTTACTTTGCATGGTCTTCTTTCACTGAATACGAGGGAGTCGACCGCACTTGTAATGCGCATGCTCGAGTGTGCATGCTCGAGCCGGTGTAATTGTTTGAAATCGTCCTAGTTATACATATGTATATATATATATATATATATATATATATATATATATATATATATATGCATATATTTTCCGTTACTGCATGCATTCCTGTGAATGCATTTGTTTTACTGTCCACAAACGTTTCAGTGCGTTGATATGCTATAGTGGGTGCACCCAAACATGTACTTGGGTAGGCATCAATTTGACCGCCCGATTTTTTCTGGAATAACTTTCGAACAGCGCGGCGTGGCCGTGTCCAACTTGAAACATCTGTGCGCGTTTGAGGAGAAGAGCTTTTGGTATAGCTATATTAGAGTAAGCTGGTAACTTTGCTGCCTTATGAAAGGTCAAAGTCAGGCAATGGCTGTCAGCGAAGACAGTCCTAAGGGTATCGTTCAATCTAATGCAATAACGAAGTGCTAAACGGAGTCACACATGTTATAGATGAGTTCCTAAACAATACAACAGTTTGCTTTAGGATTGTGATTTATTCCATTGAGCTTGTGTCAGGCATGAAGGTCGGCAAGAGCTCATGCCAAATTGTTTTGACTGGTGAACTAGCTTTATAAGAGAAGTTTGTGATTTTTACGAATTTGTGGCCAAAAGGACAAAAGAGGATTATTATTTTGACTTCATGAAGGCCGGAAGAGGTCACGTATCTAAGCTGGCACCTAAGAATACTTTGTGCTGATGAGCATATCGCCTAGTGCAGTCCCTAGTCTTACATTCAAATTGAAATACCAAAACGATTTCGAGCGTTTTTAAGTCATCCTGACATTTTGGGCGTCAAACAGGTTCACTTAAATCAAACAAAAAACAGTGATCTGTTGCTTAAATGAAGTGATTAGGTAAACACTGGCAAAGAGATTTTGTCTGAAAAATGCGCATTTTGGCATTTTGGCATGTCAGTACTATTTAACCC